TGGGCGTGCATTACTTGCGATATAAAGTTGAGCCTGAGGAGAGTTCACTTTTGAAAGTCTTTGGACAAAACCATACAGCCATTACAGATCCCAGATCCGTCCACGACCCATTAGCAAGGAAGCATATCTTAATGGTCAAAATGTAAGAATCAATCTTGCTAGGTTTCGGGAGACATTAGTCGAAGCTCTTAGTCTTATTGGAGATTCGACTCTAATTTTATTCATAAGCGAGGATTCATCTGTTGAGTCAAGCAATCAGGCAAATGTATAAATATGTTGCTCAGAACATATCAGGTAAGTGTAGGTACAAGGAAAAACAACTCAAGTCCACGCTTTCCTCTTCTTGTTGATATCATAAGATGTAAATTGCTAATGAAGTTACCAATTTTTTACAAGAAGTATTGTCGCAAGCAACATGTAGAATTACAATTACAACGCAATCTTTCTGCAGTTGCAGCTGCATGATTTTGATATACAATTAGTGCCCCAAAACTGAGGACAGCAATTTTGGCAGCAATTAAAGAGAGGAGGGGGTACGATACTAGCGCCCCAAAAACTAAGGACCGCAAAGTTTGTTCTCGGAGGGCGACTCAGAGCTCAAGAATAGTCCAAATGGCATAGTCAGTAAAGAACAGTCTGTACTCCTCTTGTTGGTCCCCAGGGACAATTGCGACTTGGCATTCGGTCTATTGGCCTCTAGAAATATTCTGTAATGTCATCTCATTACCGTCTTTTTCAACAAGTAGACATTAGATTAAACTTGATTTTTAAGGCTGTACCAAATTTGATACCAATGTTCACATTATAGAACAATTGCCAGTTCATTTTTTTCCCTCAACAACACATTCTATTCCTGCCGGCTGAGCATCTTTTTGCTCATTCTTTAACCAGCCAAACGGAAACTACCCCCTGGTAGGTGGCTAGTTCTAATCCAATTGGACATGTAATATAATTTAGAAGAGAATAACTAAAACTTCCCTAATTTCGTGCACCAAAGTGGTTTATATTTACAACCAGAGCCTAAATTTCCTTCCAAATTGATATTTCTAGTTCGCTTATGTTTGAAATTAAGCCGCAATCTCAACTGGGAGAGCAAAAATAAGTAAAATGAAATTAGGTTTTAATTTGTGGAGCCTAATTAGTGCTGTTGTGCAGAGTCGGTGTTAAGTTGTGGAGGCAAATCGTCGCTGAGCAAGAATAATTTAGGAATTTCATACTTATAATTTCGGTTTTGCCCTGATTATTTTTTTTAATAGGGAGCAGTCATTAAAATTTGTATCATCATCGAAAAGAGAGAGAAAGTTAGGGAAATTAGGGTGTATAATTTTTCTTCTTTCATCATATTGAATTATGCAACGACGGATGAGGACGTAATATCACATTGAGACTAATCTCTATAAATCTTGCATTCTTTTTTACTTTTACTTTCAAGCCAGGCCCAAGAAACCAAGCACGCAAGTCAATACAATAAAAGGTACACAGAAAAAAGTTAATCAAACAATTAAGAGATCGTTTTCATACATGGTCGTGAACAAGAATTGAAAATTTATTTATGCACTCCTGCCCCTGGTATTGAAAAACCATGGTTATAGTTTATTATTAGTTGACACATTTGATGAGAAAAATAAGATAGACACAAAGGGGACAGGTGAAATCTCATTGCACGAAAATGAACGATATATTCGCCATCAACTAATGCAGTCGAAAATGACTTACTACCTTGTGCACCACTCGATTGTTACATTAATGTCTATCACAACCACATTTCCACTCGAAAGCTTTGAAGAATTGTGTGAGTGTTTTTGGTAAATTACATATGAAGTTGATAAGGGAGATACGTGAATATTCAAAACCTTGGTGGGAAATTTTCATTTTTATCTTATTTTCAGCAGCAGATGAATTGAAGATGAGTCTTGAAATATTTGTTCCTTCTTGTCACTCATTACTATCTCTAGGACTAAGAATTCATTAGTATATTAACTACAAATATTCACAATCCCAGAAATGCATCACTGTAATGTTCCGTGGAAACATCATGTGAGATTCAATTCGTGCAGCTTGCGAATGATTCTAGTAGCTGCATAGCTCTGTGCATCTCTTAGTTTTGGCTTCGCACTTCCCGTTATCAGAACTGAACCTTCTTCACCTTCTTTAGTTTCGACTTTAACAAAGAATACATCCTTCTTTTCATCATCACGGCCAAAAACTCTGTCAAGTTGCAAATAATGCATGTTCAAACTTTTTGAAGGCAAAGGTCTAGCACTGATGAAAAAATGGAGATGTACAAAGCAGCAAAAATTTTAGAGAGGTTATAAAAGGCTCATCTGATTATTTATGCAAAAACTAAATTTCCATATAACGAGGAAAAAAACGTACATGTACTCTGGATTAGGCCATTTCTTCTTGCCACAGACTGTCATATAACTTGTGTTTTGCTTCTTCAACGTCATTTTCCACATTGAGATCATCATTGAGTTGATCCATTTTATTTCACTAGTTGTACGCGGCAACTTATTAACAGCAGCCTTGTCTGCATGAAAAGTTGCATTTTCTTTTTGCTCGGAATAAGAAGAGGCTAGTAACTCTCCATCGACGTATACACTGGCCATGTTTCTCTTTCCATTTCGATCACATCTTATGTCAGCATCCTTTCCGTCCCTTTGGCATAGCTCAAAGAGCATTGCTAAGGGTTGTGGTGGTTGTCTAAAAGTTTAATCACGACCTAAAGAAAGAAGCATTGGAAAGAATGTGTACGACCTAAATAATTGATCTTGCTGAAGTTAGAAAGTTAAGTGTATTTGCTAGCCCAACTCATAGAATATTACTTTGAATTTGAAAAATACTGCATACATGAAAATTTCCAAGTCTCTTGAACTCAGAATCAACCATGCAACATTTTACAAACAACTGCACCAAATCGAACTTTCCAAAAGGGGGTGACAGCTTTCAGAAAAGAAATAAAAATTTAGCATTCTGTGCTTCTGAGGAAGTGTTACCTTTTTATTTATTTTTTAAACATTCTAAATAATGACTAGAGTTGAATTGTCAAGATAACATCCCAAGACGGCCAACAGAGTAGTGGTCGTGGATTCACAAGCTGTTCTGAAAATATTTCACAGTGGCTAACAAAGTCACCGACTGGAAAAATATTTAAAAAGTTTATATCTATAACAAATATTTGTTTAAACTTCCAAGACAATTGTAACTGTTAACCATCTCATCTAAAAGTTTAAGTTGTTCGAGAAAGGTCACGTGTGTTTATTACAATCTTGTCTCATGTTAACCATCTCATCTTAATGCTTAAGTTTTTAGATGATGTGAATAAAAGTAACAATCATCGTGGAAACTTCTTGTTACACTTGCTTCCTCGATGGTTATGGCTTCAAGTCCAGTTTCTGATCATCACGGAAGCCCAAATTCCTTCTGTGTAGTGAACTTGAAATCATTTAATATTCATAATGCATTTTCATTTTTGTTTTTGATAAAAGAGTAAAAAAATTTGTAACTATATTTTGCGTGGCTATACAAAACAACTTTAGGCAATTATGAGTAATATTTAAGAAAGAGCAAAATGAAGAAGGAAACTAATCTTCCACATTATCTTTATACTAAAACCAGTGTCAACATATACTGCAGCTGCCACTGACTTCAAGATGTCTGCAAGAATTCTTGGTGCCTTCACCAATCCTCCATACATCTCTGCCTCTTTCTCTTGGTTAACTGATGTTACAAATTCCTCTATATGGAACATATACAAAGAACAATTTCGATAAGACTTTTTAAATTTAATTTGAAATTTTTACTTGGTTTCGCAAGATCCACCTTGTTCACGATCAAGTGAGAAAAAAACCAAGAAAATATATTAAAAAATTGTTCGAAAATTTATTGTTCGATGCATAGAATTAGACACAATCACATCCATCTTATGGTTACCTGTTGATTAGAAGGCTCATATGTTTGTATATATTGGGGGCGAGTTGATGGAGCGGAGGGTATGTGTTAAGGGATAAAAATCCATATCGAATAAAGATGAAAACATAGATCAACTTATAAAGTATTGTATTACTCCTCTTAATAAGGTTTACATTTTATCTTTCTCTTGGTTAACTGATGTTACAAATTCCTCTATATGGAACATATACAAAGAACAATTTCGATAAGACTTTTTAAATTTAATTTGAAATTTTTACTTGGTTTCGCAAGATCCACCTTGTTCACGATCAAATGAGGAAAAAACCAAGAAAATATATTAAAAAATTGTTCGAAAATTTATTGTTCGATGCATAGAATTAGACACAATCACATCCATCTTATGGTTGGTTACCTGTTCATTAGAAGGCTCATATGTTTGTATATTGGGGGCGAGTTGATGGAGCGGAGGGTATGTGTTAAGGGATAAAAATCCATATCGAATAAAGATGAAAACATAGACCAACTTATAAAGTATTGTATTACTTCTCTTAATAAGGTTGACATTTTTAGATGGAACCTAATTCTTAACATAATATCAAAGCCTATTAAGCTCCAACGAGCAATTCGATTTGATTAAGACTCAAAAAATGAGCACGTGGATTTCAAGATTGATTTGCTCAAAATGAGCCATCATCTTGCAGGGGCATGTTAAGGGATAAAAATCTCATATCGAATAAAATGAAAACATAGACCAACTTATAAAGGATTGTGTTACTCCTCTCAATAAGGTTGACCTTTTAAGATGGAACCCAATTCTTAACAGTATGGACCCCTACCAGCCTGGACTCTTTACTCCATCAACTAGTCCATCAGGTTAGGACGGTATGATACGGCATTGAAAAGGTAATTTTGGGATTATGACTTTATATAAACAACATATTATAACCTTATTCGATGTTAATGGATTTATTTGCGTCGTACAGTGGATGTAAACACATTACTAAACCACTTAATTTCTTGTGTGTCAATCTTATTGTTCTTCTTTTCAATTTTATTATTCACTTTTGCACAACACTACCTATGTTTACCTAAAATAACTGAATGACCCGATCGTACACTCTTTGCCTGTTGCTCAAATTATCATATCTTGATACAATGAACATTCCTCTCAACAACCTAGTTAATATTGTCTACGATAATATAATATTGTTTATTTTCCATAATTTATGAGATAACATATACTTTACTAAAATCTTTTTTATTTTCGATCATTTATAGTTATGCAGCAATCACATTATCAGTTTGATTGATCAATCTTTTCTATCAATGTTTTATTTGTAGTTTTGAATTGGTTTTTCTCTTGTACCATTATCTTCAAGGTCTAGAGTCTTTGTTACCAATTGGCTACAACACTTCTTACGTATTTGATACTCGTTTTCTGCAATAGATCGTCGTGCACAAATATCAATTTTTTCTAGAGTATTTTACGTTAATATATATGATTTTATCACATTTCTTGTATCAAAAAATACATCAGGAAATTGATTTGCAACCCTTAGCAAATAAATCATTTTTTTCAGTGTCTTACTCACATTGACAATTTAAGGATCTAAGTAATATAGTTATTTTATTCCCAAAAAAAAATCTTTGTTCTTCATGATGTAATTATCCCTCCCAAAGTTGAAAAAGTCATTTTCTTCAAAATGTACAGTAAATAAATCACATGTTAAATGTTCAAAGTACTTAATAATGGATGGTGAATCAAAACCAACGTAAATTCCTAGTCTTCGTTGGTGAAAAAAATTGGTCCATTGTGGGGATGGAATTGGAACTTTGACTCAACCAAAAATTCATAGGTGAAAAATATCATATTATTGACCAAATGCAAGCTGTACAAACGAGTATTAGTGATAAGCAATTGATCGCATACGAATCAATGACGCATAATGTAATATAGCATGACTCAAAATTAATTAGCTAGGAATGAATTCTAGACGTTTGATAAACAACTACGCTAAGCCATTTTGTATATAGACATGTGAAATCGAATGTTCAACGATAATTCAATTAATATACAATACTCATCGAATGCATGAAATCTAAAGTCACTAGCATTATCAAATTGACTTGTCTTGATTGAATGATTGGAAATTTGAGCACGCAATTTTATTATTTGAGCAAGTTATCTAACAAAAACTGCATTCCCAGTGAAAAGCAAACGAACATGATCTACATATATCTCCACTAATTCTTTCCAATAAAGTTAGAGATTTAATATTAACCTTCATAGGGGAAGATCTTACAACTAACTTAATTTGTGAACAAGCAACACCTAGATAATCATCTAGGTAAAGAATATTTTGATTCTATAGATAATGTCCATGTAAGTTGTTAATAATTCAACACTTGATTATTTCTCCTGATGTCCAAGTAAATCATGAAGAATTATAAAACTTTTTGAATCAACAAACTACGAGTATTTTCAAACAGAAGGCTTGATTTGTAAATAGGTAATGATAAACAGAGAATAGCTGAAGATTACTAAGCCCTGTTTGGGCTCCATTAAAATGAAAATTTGGAGGAAAATGTGTTTTGAAATAATATTTTTTTAAAGAATGTAGTTAAAAGATAAAGAAAAATTCTGAAATTACGTGTAACGTTATTTTATAGAAAAAAATATATGATTGAAAATGAATTTTGAAAAAAATGTATTTTTAAAAAAATGGAACTCAAACAGGAACTTAATGTATGGTGAAATTTTATTGACCATTCATAAATGATATATAAAGTTCCCCAAAACGGTGGCTTATTGAATAAATCCTATTTCAGTAATTGTAATTCACAAATCTAATTTGGATCACGTTTCCAGGGGAATAATTATTGGTGCAACAGTAACATGTATAAACATTAAACAGAGAAATTGCAGACCCTGATTGAAATAGCTTAGCGGCTATTCTCTTTGTATTTCAGTTTTATGTTTTGAGTTTTGTGTGTTCATTTGAAATTATTGAAAATGTGTTCTTTTTGACATTTTGAAAAATTATTTTGAAAACAACCAAAACGCGTTTTAAATTTTTTGACTTGATTATAACTGAAAACACAAATTTGTCATTTTGGATTTTCTTTATAAATTTTTAACTTGTTTTCAAAAACGCGTTTTCGAAAATAGGAAAGAGGACGCGTTTTCACTGTTTTGAAAAATTGAAAACAAAAAACAGATTGAAATTGTAAATAGAACAGACCCTTACTTTTTTATTTTTTATAATGTAATACTCCCTCCGTCCCATTTATATAAGCTTACTTCCCTTATTTTCTTGTCTCAATTATATAGTCTTATTTCTATATCAAGAATGTTTTGTTTTGTTTGTTTACTAATATATCCTTATTTATTTATTACTTTCAATAATAATTTACTACTAGTTATTGAATTAAATGAGTAAACTAGGAAAGTTTTTGACAAAAATTTCTTTCTCAATAACATTAATTAATATTTCTTAATCCGTGTGAAAAACAAAACAAGCATATATAAATGGACGGAGAGAGTATAGGGAAACTCTTTTACGGACAGTAGCTCAAGATTTCTTTTCAAGAAAGCTTTTCTATAAAAAGTAAAAATCTTAAACGCATTCATAACTAGTTAAACGAAACCATAAACACATTTTTTTATCCAGCCCAACTCCATTGATCAAAGCTGGTTAAATCCCAACAATGTAGCAGTCTGCTCCTAACTTTGTTCATTCACATCCTGAGTAGGTAAGCAACCTATATTTCATCCAATCTATTTTTCATCATCCTCATTTAACTTGATGTGTAAGAACCCATAAATAATCCAAAAGAAATTTCAAAAAAGTCAAATATTCCATCTTTTCACTACGCAAGAAGTAACATACTTTAAAGGCGCACAAAACTTTTGATAATGGATTCTGCCAAACATCTCTCCTTGGGCCAATATACAACTCTAGGGGGATGAAAAATGACAACCAATTGTTCAGAAATGACATGTTTTGAGGTTTTACATCAGACGTACCCTAGAGCACTGTCACGCAGGGAATGCAACAATGTAGACTATACTGATGATGATGATGAATTTCGACTCAGCTCACAAGCAAGTGATCGAATCCTCCCCCTGCTTGCATACCAGCAACCCGAGGCATTTGCACATTGTGAAGCAACTGCTGCAGCCATCTTCTCGTGGTTGGATCTTCCTGAAAATATATAGTTAAAATTCACCAAATCAAACAGTAAATATCATCACTCTTTCCCCGCTTGAGAGAGGAAAATTCTGACAGTGGGCAATCATGGCGAAAAGTACTTACACGAAGGCAACTGCTAAATGTTGCATCCCTAAGAATATCTGGTAGACAACTTCTCAGCGCATCACAAGCTCTGCATAAAACAAGGTGATCGATTTCAGCAAATAAACGTTTTTTTGTAAAAAATGAACAAAATGAAAGGAGGTGAATCAAGAAAATAATTCCCACCTCGCATTATCAGACAATCGAAGATAGCACCTGATAATGTGTTTTAACAGCCTAACTGAAGGCTGCTCAGCAAGAGCAGCAACCATATTTCCCAGTACTCGACCTACAGCAAAGAACCGCTCTGCTGTGGTACATATGTAATCTAAGCCAACATCATCAAGCAAAATTTCTGTCATAGTTGTATAAAATCCAGCAACCAATAGCTAAGGAATGCTTGATCTCAAATTATAAAACCCATAAATAGTTTAGTTCAATTATGTGATCCCGATCCTAGGGTACCAATTTAACGAGACATAAATGGGAAGCAGGATTCTACTAACTTTTAGCTTGAGTGACTGTAAAAATAACGGCAGATAGAGAACACTGCAGCACAAGGAAAATAAGGTTACATGCAAAAAGTATGTATTTAGCAAGTGGGCTTGTGAACCACTCTGAAGCTCTTGTATGCGACTCCAGATTAACATTTGTATACACCACCACCTAGTTAAAAACACATACAAAAAATGGGAATGCAGAATAATTTCAGATAATCAAATTTCACATCAAACCCAAAAGCAATACAGCTATATAGGACAATGTACGGTGGATGTAAAACCACACCTTCACGGTTTTCCTCCTCCCTGGAAATTCCAATACTCTTATGATGTCAGAGATTTAGTTGCCCTACTAGAAAATTATTCAACTAACTCATTTCATTAATAACATCCAGTAAGGAGGATCATAATTTACCAGCTGCTTGTGGTGCTTAAACAGACAGGTGTATGAGACAGCATAGGAGTCAGAAGTAAAAACTCAAATCCAGCTTAAATCTTACTTGGGTGTTTAAATCACTGTGTATACAAAAAGAAATAACCTTTAGTGGCTATCTAAAACCATCTATCAGTTGAATGCTATGATGCTCGGATTCGGATACGAGTATCGGGTACAGGTACGCATCTAAGTATCATATTTTTTATTTTCAAAAATAAAATGTAGGCCACGGAGATATGGTTAAAAAGAGACCAAATTTTGGACACGGGTATGTTCTTCAAACTTCAATTTTTTTACTAATCCAATATGTCATTTTGAATAGACCAAAATCAATTATTCACATAGAAGAATGAGTATTGAATAAGGGGTTAAAACGAATAAAATAGAATTTTTGGATTTAGTTTTCAATTATGAGAATTACTAAATGTTACATAAAATAGAAAATGAAGGACTTGATTGCAATTTAGACTTAGTGGAGCACTAAGTAGCACTATATGGACCCATTTTCATTTTATACAAACAAAACCATCGATACAGAGAGAGAGAGAAAGAAAAAAAGAAAAAAATGGAAAGAAAGAAGAACGAAGAAGAAAAAGAATGGAAAACCTAGCGCCGCCACCTTTCTCCACCCTTTCGGCGACGACGCTGGATTTATAGAGAGCAGAAGCGAGAAAGAAGAAAAGGAAAAGAAAAAGAAAAAAAAAATAGAAAGAAGAAGCAAAAACGACGAAGTGTCTGGTTGAAGATTGGAGGATCCAACACATCTCATACCCATACCCGTGTAGGAATATTTCGAAGAGTCCGAGCATCAGAGGTTGGATGGCTAGTTAGATGGCAAATTATCAAAGACCGAGTAATTATTGGTATATTCCTAGAGAAACCAAGTAGAAAGAACAGAGATGAATCAGAAAGAAATGTTTACAAGGCACTCAACTGTTTTTGACAATTCACTACCCATCTCCATGGTGCGGAGGCACAGCGGAATAATTTCAGTAGAAAGAAGGAAACTGATAACTTCAGTGTCATCAACCTGGAGAGCAAAGAAAAGCAAATGATAGAAACTGTTATTTCTCATCAGAATAGAAAATAAACAGCAGTGCTGGAAAAGAATATATCGTAGTAATTGTTATTGAAGTCGGCATAAAATCATATTCATTGCAATATTTCAACGCATCCAAATTTGGCATATCAAGAGACTCTTTCATAAGAGACATGTAATCACACTAAAACATGTTAGGAGGGGTAGACCAAAACTAACATGGTCCACTCTCTAAGCATCAAATTGAATATTCCATAAATAAGCAATCTAAACAAAGTTATTCATGTAGCCAACTCCAACTTTATTGATTGTAAGGCTTAGTTTGTTTGTTATCTTAACTCATCCACTGCTCCAAAGTCCAAATATTAAGTCCGCGACATAAAATAAATTAAACAGCAGCTGTAACTTTAGAGTGGAGATCTTATAATAATAGAAGACCTGTCAAGAATACATGGGCAACACACAGAGAATGGGAACGAGAGAGAAAAAGGGGAGGGCGTGAATATGCATGCAAAAAGAAGAGCACAATGTGAAGAGGCAACCTCTTTTGTCAAGCCAATTTGCAAGTGTATTCCAGTTGTACAGGCATCTCTAGTTTGCAAATTACCTAAAATTACCTCGTCCATAGAATGGCAATAATCGAAAATACCATTTTCTGTCAAGAGAACACACGCACCTGAAGAAAAATAACATTTAAAAAATATCTTTAAAAATAGAAAATACCTTCACCAGAGCACCAATGACACCTAAACTTGTGAGCCTCAAGTACTCAAAGGGCCTAGATTTGCTGGTTGTGTTGAGAAAAGGGTATAGATACAATGGTATGTGGGCTACATCAGAGAAGAGGTCAGCCAGAAAACTAAGTTAGCATTTAAAAGATGGCTGTAGATAGGCATAACCCAAATGAGAAAATAAACATTGAAGGCTTAACATAACAGAAAAATATTAGTCACAGTTAGCTGTACAATTAATGGAAAAATCCAATATATCCTATACTCACACAAATATAACTATGTGCTAGCTTTAAAAATACTGCTTTTAGTTAAAGTTCCATTCTATAAGCATGAAAGATATGAATATCAAACAACAAAATCATACCATTAAGAAACGACATTCTTGTGTCTGGGTGAGAGGCCACACACTGCAAAATATATATAAAACCATGTCAATTCAGAGGAGGCAAGTAATTTTACATCATGGTTTATCATGTTCCATTCTCTCTGGGAAAGTTTATTTTTTCACCTATCAATTATCAAATTTTCTGCGGGTTTTAAGGCTTCGAGTAGAGGAAGCACCACATTTAGTACATGCACAAATTGAAAAGAAACACAATCATGCAGTTAGCCATTACTGCCGCAATCACGTCAAAATCTTATCAAATATTGTACTCATTCCATTTTAATAATAATTGATAATTATAGATTTTTCTACATCTGAATAGAGAGAACTGCAACTTTATGCACTGACAAAAGAGAAACTAAACTGGACATAGAACTGTAGCCATCATTTATTAAGTTCCCTCCAAAAATGGTCCGCTATCATGTCCTCTTCCCAACTTTCATGAATTCATTTTTGAAAACGATGTCCTTCATTCTTTTAACACAACGAAAATGTGATTCCCATGTTGGCCCGTTGTACTTTTATGTCTCAATTTCCACGCCTAGAAACATTACTTACCTTCCACTCGACGTGTGAAGTTCTAACTAGTGAGAGATCATTTTCATTTTCCCTGAAGCAAATTAAAAAATGTTAAATCTAAAGGAGCTTTACAGTCATTTATTGAATCAATTTCCCTTACAGCTGTGAAGTTCATATCTCAACCTACAACAGCTCATTGTGGAACTACTACTATTTCTAATCCATCCCAGCAGTATATTTTAATGGCACTTCAACAAGAATTTACTCTTGATAGCTCCCTATGATGCACGGACAGTCCTACAAGGGTAGCAAGTCCGTGCACGCGTCCAGCATGTGTCCCCGTCGGACCCATCACTCCTTGAACAACACTCAAGGACATGTCATTTCTTTTTTATATTATCGGCACTTGAGGGATACTTTAAAGACACCGCATACAACTAACATTCTACGTGCCATGTACAATTTCACAATTATGAAAATAAATACAAATATAAAATATGAATTTAAAATTCTGACATGTTCATGTCCTACTTATTTAAGAATCACATTTCAAAATGTAGGTGTAGTGTACGTGTCCGCGTCCGTGTCCATATCCGTGTCTGTGCAACTTAGATAGCTCCTATATCCCACATGTGGACCATATCCATCCTCTTTAAGCATAACTAGAGACGGAGTAACAAATCCATATCCATCCTTTTCTACACATAACTAGAGACTGAGGAACAAAGGGGTAAAACTACATATGGGAACCTGATTTGTGTAGAAAAAAGAATTTTGAAACAGTGTTCTTGAACTCGAAGCATCCGCCCAAAAAATAGGGCAATGAACAAAAATTTATCTTAAAAAGAAGGCAATAATGAACAAAGTCTATCTTCAACGAAATAGCAATGGATTCTATGGACACGCATTATAAAACTTCTCGAAGCATTGTCCGAAGCCACAATCACCTTTCACCTACTTTATTCTAACAACTATTGATCCGCCATCAGTTATTCAACTTCGAGTTAGCACTCCGGGGGCTATTGCTACTATCTTTAGGGAATGTTGACATATACTCAAAATGGCTCGACAATTATAAAACAAGAACATCATTTGTATTATTTTAATTTCTAAGGACTGCTTTGTTGCACGTGAGATTACATTGCCTCTTAAAAGTTAAAAGCATAAATACCAAACTTATCCATTGCAAAAGCACTAGGTCTGCGGGTTGATTGTTCAACTTTATCACATCAAAAATTAAAACAATATTTTTTATTAGAACTTGGAATTGATATAAACATACATTTACAAGTTAATGAGTAGTCAAGCTTAAAACTTCAATTATCCCCCATTCAGTGTAGCTAAAAATCAAAATTTTTTGGTAGATTTTGATAAAATTTGATGAAATGCGTGGTTGAAAAGTTTTGTATCTTACGAAATGTGTCGTTAAAATTAATTCTAGACTATAACTTAAAACTTTTATCAAAATTCTAAGATAGACCAAATAGGGGCTTAGCAATTGAACTATTATAAATTCTCAAATGCATGTGTTTAATATTTCGTTAATTACTTTTTTCTTAAAACAAATAAAATATTTAAATACTTTATAATAAATGACATATTTATTATTTTTATGAGATTTATAATCAACTAAAAAAGGCAACCTGGTGGTACCGAGTTCCACCAACAACCTTTATATCCTAAGTTCAAAACATGACCTCTTTATTTTGATAAATTATCAAAATGACTGGCCAATTTGAGAAGAACCCGATGTTCTTGCTGGTTACAACATGTCAAGGTCGATAAAAATCAACCATTTCTTATAGATCTCAAGTGGTTCAATAGTCATCCTAACCAGACAAGATCATGATCCGATCAACCAGTTTCATGGTCAAATAGGCCGACCTAGTCCAGGTATTACAACTACGGTCCCTTCTTTCCTTATGAGTAATTGAGTTATTTTCATCAACCTTCAATATTTCTAATGAGATCTTCCTTCTTTTTTTACTTTGCTATCATATATGTCATTTCCTTACAAACAAGCCATTCATATTCCCCTCCTTAAAAGTAGCTCTCACTAAAGCAGTTGCACCTGGTGTACACTAGCTATGTGAACCCCGCTCTGATCCAACAAGACTTCTGGTCTCTCGGTCTTTAATCTTTCCAAATATGTGCTTCCTTCTTTCCTTGCTTTGCTACCATGTACGGTGTTTTCCCTCCAAACACGCCACTCATAATCCCTTAAAGTACATCTCATTAATGCAATTGTAGCTTATACTAGCTAGGAAAACTCTCTATAATACAATCCAACATCATCTCAACCGTCAGTCTTTTGTATGACAATAGCTTTAACCCCCACTTATTGATCTTCTTTTATAGTCCAGATGGGAATCTGGCCTTGTTACTTTATGTTTCGGAGTCATTTGATCCCTCGATCAAGTCCTAACTAGATATATCTTAAGTGAAGACGAGAAATCGTTTGGTTTCGAGGAGAAACCCTTCACCGCAATTACGAAGTTCTTCTGCTCTAATCTCAAAAATAGTTATTGTTCTTCTTTTCGTAAAGAAAATCGACTTCGTTTCTTAAATAATCCACATCACTTCTGTAACACAAAACAGGGTTAATTATGAGAGAATAAGACACCTAGATAAACATCTCGTTTACCAAATAAGATGTCGAGAATGTCAACCATTTTCCTTCGTACAACCAAAGAGAGATTGGCCATAGCATTGCTCGAAATGTGTACGGAAGATATCGAATCCAAGGACTCGAAGCAACAAATGTGTATAAAAGGCTAAAGAGAAGACAAATAGATGCAAGCCAAATCAAAGACCTCTAGGACAAAGAGCAATACTTGCATATTGTACATGTCGCGCCCTTTTTGACTAGGCATAAAATTTGGAATTTTGATCCCATGGGAATCATGAGACTTACCAACTAGAACAAGATCAACAATTTTCTTAGAGACGCCTTCTATTACATAGATGAAGATCAAAGAAAACTCGAACTAGCACTGCTGAAATTTTCACTAAAGGTTACAATGTTGGGTGTATCGTTTAGAAGTAACCACTCTCTCCCAAATTTAGATAGTCTGGAGTACATAAACCAAAATACTACAAAGTCAGGCGTGCTAAGGAAATGTTAGAAACTCATTAGATAAAGAACACTTATAGGCTATGATATAACAAACTTTAGATCTATGAAGGAGAAAGAAGAGAAAAATCTATACTTTATTTTTTTTGATAACTGTGGATGTCTGGGCCAGCTTACACGCACCTCAACTAATCCCACGGGACACTGAAATTTACGGTCGGATACTCACCCCAGTGGCCTTGAGGGGATTCGAACCAGTGACCATTGGGGAGCAAACCTAAGACCTGACCAATTGAGCAACCCACCAAGGTTGAGAAAAATCTATACATCATGTGATTTGCTTTACTTTATGACCTATGTTAAATTTTCAGAAGATACATTAAATTTTAGCACATATAGTTTTCTTAATCAACACATCTCAATAAGTAGCCTCCTTTTTGTACACATCCTGTAAGTGCATGTACATGTACATATCAAATCCGTTTCTATGCTTTATACTTAGAATTTGTCTTGCTTATCTAGAATTTGTTAGCGAAATAGTGCATATGCATCAATAAAGTTGCCTTACTAGGAATATTCATTAAAAAATATAGAACTCCTTTGAACCCAGAACTTTGAACTAGATGCAAACATCAAGACCTACGGAGCTACACCTAGAGTTGTCATCACCCACTACACCTCCCGAGAACAAAAAAATTGATTATTCGTTTTGCTCATCATAGAATTGCAAGCCAGGTTGTCCTAGTTGGATAACGATCCCGAGCAAAGCCAAGATTAAGCCGTTGTTTGAGCCCCATTTTGAGAGAAAAAAATGCATTTTTTTAATAGTGATTTTTGGAAAATGTGTGATTAAAAATTAAGATGAAGTTTTTCAATTTTTATGTAATATTATTTTATTGGAGAACGTGTGGCTGAAAATGAGTTGAAAAAATGAATTTTCAAAAAAATGGGGCTCAAACAACCCTTAAGCATCTTCTGCACTCGAATGAGCTAATCATAAAATCTTATTTTGTGCATCTAAATCCATTCCCACCCTTTCGCCATATAGATGATGTCGGATAACTACTTGAGGCTTCTGACATTATTTTCACATTGTCAAAAGTTCATGTGGCAGCACATATTTATAGGTTTACATATAATTTCAAAACAACGGCATGAGACAAGCGCCGATTGTTCGATTCACAAGCTCGCTCCAGCTTGCTCCAATTCTCAAGATGGGAAATTGCTAAAAAATTTAAGACACAATGCTGGGGTATAGTGTTGAGAAGGATATGGTTGCCATTAGAGAGTAAGACTTAAATATAACAAAAAAACAACTACTGAAATTCGTTCAATGGCGAGAACGAAAAGAAAAAGGATTGGTGCAATTATGAGAATAACTGGAAATTTTTTTATTTAAATAGATGGATAACACCCATGAAATATCTGATATAAAAGTTCTAGGGTTTCATAAATCTAGTATCACCAGCCACAAGTTCTTACCCAGTCCCAACATAATGCAATCATGATGATGCATCCAACACCTATTTTTTACTTCCAACAAACAATTCAAGAACCTAACTCAATCTCCATTTTTAATCAGTGGAGGNAGTGGAGGCCTATGAAACAAATCCCAAGTAAAGATACAAGAAACTACACCAAATCAATCACACGCTGCCTTCTTATGAGGGGCAGAAAAATATAATCTGCAGCATAATCAGCTGCATAACCTATAAATCAGACCTGAAGTAGTGCAAGTGCATTGCAAACTCTGTTTGATTGTGCTGGAGTTAAGTTTGGCGGTGATAAAACAGGGTAGATGGAAACTATTTCCTGCAGGAGAGAAAAAGAAAACATAAATCACTGAGAGAAATCATACCATAATGTGCAAATTAATGCTCATAAGCAAAAAAAGAACTTGCAAATTTAGAAGGAAAGTACTCCCTAACAGTTAAGTAGTGCACACTAGCAAATGGAACGTGACACAACCAAAAAAAAATTCTATTTTACACTAATATTGGAACAAATAGAAGCAGGAAAGGAAAACATAGACATGAAAGTATAGTAGTACATTCCTTTATCAAAATTCCACCATAAGATACAACTGTAAACATAAATGCCGAGTGTCAGTTTGCATTTGCATTCCCAATCAACTACCAGGAACACACATTCACTAGCACAGTATGTCCATTTGAATCTCAACCTATAGGAGTACATTCCTTTCTCAAAATTCCACAATAAGATACAACTGTAAACATAAATACCGATTGTCAGTTTGCATTTGCATTCCCTATCAACTTCCAGGAACACATTCACTGGCACAATATGTCCATTTCAATCTCAATTAGTGAGTAGAACTCAGAAGCTTTATCATAGCTCCAAAAGTAGAAAGTGATACAAAATGACTCCTACCAATGTTATTATGAACTTCATTCTTTTTCTAATGACAAAAATGCAAGTCATCTCAAGTTTTATTTAGAATATAGGCTTCAAGGTGACACCATCATTACCAAGTAACGAAATAATTATAAAAATCAGAATAGTGGAGATAAACTTGGGAAATATCTTGACACTTACCTGCAAAAGAGCAGCAATTGTACCAAAGGAATTCCACAGTAAAGGAGCTAAATCTTGAAACAGTTCCCTCTTCTATTGAATGAAAAAGAACAGTGTATGAGGCACACACGAAATAATTTACAAAAAATGCGGACCAGGAAAAAAGAGCCAGAATATGGAATAAATATATATTCTCTAATCAAGACCAAAATACAGAGAAAACAAAATTCAGAAGCGGGCACACAATTACAGACAGTAATTCAAATATTCAATCATAAATACCTCTCTCTCTACAATCTAAATTTGTCAACTAATTCTAAACAAGTAAATTTTAATTACTTAAACAAGTAATTATAAAAGGTGAAAAATATTATCTAAAACTTCATTTAAACAATAACTAAATCTTTAATACTTAAGCAACAACTTTATAATTTTTTCTTCTACTGTAGAAGTTCTAACTTTCTAAATAAATAGCTGTTATTGTAAATATTTTAAGTTGATAATTCGTGTTGTTTTACTTGATAATTATTATCTCATAATTTTTTTAATTAAAATAAGTAAATGCTTTATTAGTTAAACAAAATTTCTACAAACACATCCGTTATTATAATGTTTTAATTTTTTTGCCAGGAGTAATAGGTAATTAAATAATAAATAACAATTAAATCAATAAATCTAAAGCTTTTTCTGCGCATAGCGAATTTCATCAATTACAGAAAAATAAACTTAAACACGATTATAAAATAAGATTATAATATTTCAAATTTGAGTGATAAACCTTACAATAAATATTTCCTAGCGTATCTACAATATATTAAATCCTGGGTAGTTAACAATTAATTTTCCAAACAGCTGATCCTGAAATATTATCACTATTTGGATTAATATTTCAAAACCTTAATCAATTTGACTTCAAACCTTATACTAAATTATACCAATTCTAGACAGAATAAATTATATATTGGTTAGTTATAATTATTTTTTAAAGTAGCAAACTGTGAAATATTAGTAATATTTGGATATAATATCTGATAATTTTGAATTAAATTCTTAGAAAAATTATGAAGTACATCGTGGTAATTAAAATGCAGAAAAATTGCTTAGTATTTTAATATTATTTACAATTTAAAATTATTTATATTTAGTGGACTGTGGTGTGTTACAGAAAGTTAGATAAGAGTTGATACAACAGGTGGGTCCCATGAAATTGTGAAGAGTGCATTGAAGTTGTGGATTCAATAAAATCTGTAATGAAAAATGAAGTTTTGACCATCTTTTTAACAAACAAAAGCTTTACCACCTACTACCATTATTTATACTCAGAATTTAATATGTAGAGCCTGTTTGTTTCCGATTAAAATTCAATTAAAATTGAAAATATGACCATTATTGAATTTCACTTATCTAATAAAAATCAACAATAACGAATATTTCAATTTTAATCCAATTTTAATCTGTACCGAACACGCCCTTAAATCCGAAACAATTTATTAGTACAAAATCATTACTATTATCGCCATCAATATATATGGATAGATTTTCAAAAATTGAATATTTGACCTTTTTTTTTTTAACATTCTATACTTTGTTAGGTTTAAGATATATCTAGAAGTTTTTAAACTTGTACAAAAAAAAAAAAATTTTTGATAACCGTGGATGTCCGGTCCAACTTGCGCACAACTCGACTAATTCCACCGGGGCTTGAAGGAGCTTGTACAAAAATAAAATAAATACATTGAAAATAAAGAAGTCAAATGCAAACTGATTAAATTAATTGCTGGTCCACACATCCTCAAACCTCCACACCCTAACGTAGACACCACACAGAGAGACGCCCACAATGCTTTTACTGTTTTACATGATTTTTGTGTAGCTTAGTTTCACCGTTATCACATCTCCATCATGATTGCCTGCACCTGCTGCTGCTGTTCAACGCGGATTATACAACCCAAAGGCCAATTTGTAGAGGCTTTATTTTCTATTTTTTCTATATTTCAATTATTTTAATCGACTCCGATATAGCTCATATTTCCATAAAATTGAGTAAAGAAAAAAATGAAATCGCATTAATTCGTAATCTGCCAAACAGAATTTATTATAAAGGCATATCAAGAATAACCCTATAGGCCTAATTAAAAAACCCAACAAAAAATATTACCGATGAACGGAATAAATTAATACATGACAAATTTACGCTAAAGGTTAGCATTACGAATAAATAGAAAAGAAAAACCTTGGAGAGTTCGAGAAGGGCGTTTTCACGGAGATCAGGATTGCAGAGATCAAGGACGAGTTGCTCAGCCGATTGCATTTTTCGGTCCTTATTACCGGCCGCGGCTTGAGGTCCTCCAAGGGCCGATGAAGCGCTGGATCCAGCCTCGAAGGGAGCTGCTTTCATGTTCAGGGATTGAGGTAGGTTAGCCATTTTTGCGAGGTTTTGTGTTTGATTTCTCTTTCGAGGCTTTACTATCAATGAAAGAAACGGTGACAAGAGGGGAATACTGATGAATTGGGGTGGTATTGAGGCCACACGTGCTACTCATACGCGTATTTATACGACACCTGTACACGTACATGTCTATGGCTTTAGGGGATGGTGACGGTGCTCTTAATCGGAACGTTGGGACCCACTAAATAGAGAACTCTATCTCTATGGGCTCAACCAAAATGGACATGATCCTAAAGAAAGGCCCACTGGACGTGAAACTGACGTAAACAGCATTTACCGAACCAAAAATCTCGAATATAACACTTTGTAAACTTTCTTAGCACTTTCCATTTCACATTCTGTAAGATACTTCGAATGTACTTAGTATTATAAAAGGCACATCTAAACGTCACTTAAGCTTTGTCTAGGCACATCGAAACTCGGACTTGTGAAGTCTCATGCAGTAACGATTTTTACTTTATATACTTCTAAACACAACTTTTAAGAATGACTAATCGAGCATTAAGCATTATCTGGAAGTAGAAAAATTTCCGCTCTTCATGCCTCCTTTATACTAATGTAGGCTCCACTATATTTTCTCCATGGACACCAAACAAATGTGTTCTTAAAAATGTAGGGGGGGTTTGTCCTACATAAAAGCTTATTTCTGGCTTATAAACATGCTAGACGCTCTGCTTCGACCCATTAATTTAATACAGATGAAAACTCTTGCAATTATATGATGAGGCACTTAAATCACAGATTGTGATAAAATTACACGCTTTGTTTTTTAGTCTGAATATTTCCCTGTCACTAAGCGAGACATTTGAACGTCAAGCCTAGCTGGCTCCTAAAGACGTATTCTTTTACTCATGTAACTAATAAAATTCACCAATACGTATGGTTTTTACAAAAATAATAATAAATTTAAATTTAAATTTAAAAAAGTGTTAAAAAAAAAAAGGTTGAATTATATGTACATAAGGTAAAAAGCGTAAAAAACAAAACGATGTTGATGTATTAAAGGGGTTAGAAAAAAAGGTTGAATTATATGTACACAAGGCATGTTTCATGTTTGGTTGGTGTTTTTTTTTTTTTAATTATTTATTATCAAATATACATTTTTATTCGCACATTTCATAAAACTCACAACTACCATTCACATATTACTCATATTATTCACAACATATAATTTAAATACCAACCAAACATGCATATAAGATAATCCATTAAAAAAAATTAAAACATGTTGATCGTATTAAAAGGGGCATGAGAAAAACACTACCCTTTGTTTCTATGAATTTTTAATCATTTGTTCTTTAGGGCTTGTTTGATAGGTTAGATTTTCCATGGAAAATGGAATTCATTTTCCATTTTTCACCTTTTGACTTGTTTGATAGGGTTTTTTTTCCCCTAAAATTCATTTTCTTGATTGAGTAATGCTACACTTACACATTTGATTCACATTCACTTTTACATCCCTCTCACATAGGAGGTGGTACCCATGATTTTAAAAATTACGGGCTTCACCCCCATGTGAGAGGGATGTGAATGTGAACCAAAGTATGTACATTTAGCATTTTTGTTCTTGGTTTAGGATCACACGTGCCATTTTCCTTGATTTTGTGGAAAAGCAATTCTCACCATTTTGATGGGAAATGGCTTTCCAAGTTCTTCTTCTTCTTCTTCTTTTTTTTTTTTGTTGGCAATTGACAAAAATTCAAGACACATAATGGTAAAAAAATTTATCGCTTTTATTGACAATTTTCATGCAAAATAAAGTCAAACGAATAGTATTCGGTATGGTAAAAAAAAAAAAATTTTAAAAAAA